CCCAGGGCCACGATCCCTTGTGAATAACGACCGCACTCCCAGAACCACCTGGGCGTCCTGGGGCGCCCAGGCTTTTCAAGCACTGCAAAACAAACGTTTCGCCCAAGAGTTCCTCAGATATTCGGCACGCAGGGTGCGCCATCCTCGAGCGGGCACGCAAAAAGCTAACCTTCCTTCTGCAAGCCAAGCGTTTCGCTCGAGACATTCTCGACATTCCTGCGCGCGGGACGCGCCATCCTCGAGCGGGCGCGCAAAAAATCAACTGTTCTAGATTTGTTTGTAAAATTCGATTGCATTCACAGCTAAAATTTAATCGTAGATTCTGCGCAAAACACTCCGCACCCTGTTTTTCCCAACCATCCTGTGGTGTTGGGTCCTCGGTTTGAAGAGACGGTGCCCCGCGTCTCCTTCTCCTCCCGCTGCCCCCTCCCTCCTCCCTCCTCCCCCTCCTTGCCTCTGCTCTCGGCACACCCCTCACACGTTTCGTAGCCCCATAGGGGGCTCCACCGAAGGTCCCAGTGGCACAGCCCGCATGCAGCGGTTTTCCCCCCCAGGCAGCGTTTCGTAGCCCCATAGGGAGCTCCACCGAAGGTCCCAGTGGCACAGCCCGCATGCGGTTCCCCCACCTAGGGCAACGTTTCGTGGCCCCATAGGGAGCTCCACCGAAGGTCCCAGTGGCACAGCCCGCATGCGGTTCCCCCACCTAGGGCAGCGCTTCATGGCCCCGTAGGAAGCTCCACCGAAAGTCCCAGTGGCACAGCCCGCATGCGGTTCCCCCACCCAGGGCAGCGTTTCGTGGCCCCATAGGGAGCTCCAACCGAAGGTCCAGTGCACCAGCCCGCATGCGGGACCCCCACCCAGGCAGCGCTTCATGGCCCTGCCCGTAGGAGCTCCACCGAAATTTCCCAGTGGCAACAGCCCGCATGCGTTTACCCCCACCCCATGGCAGCGTTACGTATCCCCATAGGAGCTCCCCCCGAGGGCCCAGTGGGGGGGGGGCAACAATCTTCGAGCAGACCCAGTACAGCGCCTTCGTGGCCCATAGGGAGCTCTACCGAAGGTACCAGTGGGCACAAGCCCGCATGCGGTTCCCCCACCCAGGGCAGCGATTTCGGCCGAACCCCCATAGTGAGCTCCACCGAAGGTCCCAGTGCACAGCCCGCATGCGGTTCCCCCCACCCATGGCAGCGCTTCGTATACCCCCATAGGGAGCTCCACCGAAGGTCCCATTGGCACAGCCCGCATGCGGTTTCCCTCACACCGCACGGCGTTTCGTGCACCATAGGAGCTCCACCGTAGGTCCCAGTGGCGCAGTCCGCATGCGTCCCCCCCCACCCAGTACAGCGTCTCGTGGCCCCAAAGGGAGCTCCACCGAAGGTCCCAGTGGCGCAGTTCGCATGCGTCCCCCCCACCCAGTACAGCGCTTCGTGGCCCCATAGGCGGGCGCATGCGGGCACCTCGACTGGGGCCCTCGGTGGAGCTCACTGTGGGGCAACGAAGCGCTGTACTGGGTGTGGCGGACGCATGCGGGCACCCCCACTGGGGCCTTCGGTGGAGCTCCCTATGGGACCACGGAGCGCTATACTGGGTGTGGCGGACGCATGTGGGCACCCCCACTGGGGCCTTCGGTGGGGCTCCCTGTGAGGCCACAAAGCGCTGTACTGAGTGTGGCAGACGCGTGCGGGCACTCCCACTAGGGCCTTCTGTGGAGCTCCCTATGGGGCCACGAAGCGTTGAACCGGGTGTGGCGGACGCACCCCCTTTAGGGCCTTCGGTGGAGTCCCCTATGGGGCCACGAAGCGCTGTACTGGGTGTGGCAGACGCATGCGGGCACTCTCCCTGGGGGGCCTTCGGTGAAGCTCCGAATGAGGCTACGACTCGACACGCTGTACTGGGTGTGGCGGACGCATGCGGGCACCCCCACTGGGGCCTTCGGTGGAGCTCCCTATGGTGCCACGAAGCGCTGTACTGGGTGTGGCGAACGCATGTGGCCCCCCCCACTGGGGCCTTCGGTGGAGCTGCCTATGGGGCCACGGAACGTGTGAGTGGTGTACCGAAATCATGGACATGCGGTGAGCAGAGGCAGGGATGGGAGGAGGGGGGAGAGGAGGAGGAGGATGAGGAGGAGGAGGAGGAGGAGGAGGAGGAAAAGGAGGAGGAGGAGAAGGAGGAGGAGCAAAGGGAAGGAGGAGGAGGAGGAGGAGGAGGAGGAGGAGGAGGAGGAGAGGAGGAACGCGGGGCGCTGTCTCTTCAAAACGAGGACCCAACACCACACGATGGTCGGGGACAAAACAGTACAACATGCACCTCGCGCCTAAATCTGGATCATGCGCGGCCACCCCGCGATCACTGTGAAGTGGTTTTTGACAGGGACGGCGGGGGTGGTGGCGTATGGCCTGCTGTGCGTACGCCCACCAGAAACAATTATGGGCATTGGTTACCGATAAGGATGGTGGGGGCCGACACGTTTCCTGTGTGCTGTCACGTGCAAAGGCGCACCTGACGCAATCTGCACGTGCCCCGAACGTGGCACACTTGGCGTGGCTGGAGTGTGCGGCACACCCGGCGAACTCGGAGCACGTGGCGCATCTGGCGCACCAGGCGTGCCTGGCACGCTCGGGCCCCAGGGGTGCCTGGCGCGCGTGGCGCCCCTGGCACGCGCGGCGCACCTCGCCCAAGCGTCGCTCACCTGGTCTCAGTTTTGGTTCCCAGTAACTGCCCATCCATACATTCCCTCCCCCAGGCGGCCGGGGGCCAAGCAGGCACAATGAGGACACCATGCCGACACCAGAACGACCAGCCCCCACCATCCCTGTCAAAGAACAATACAAAACGCACTCTGCCTCCACATTTGGAGCATGCGCGGCCAAACCGATGCGCCCCCCCCACACCATCCCTTTGTTGGGGGGACTCTCTTGCAACTTCTCCTCTGTCGGCCTCGTGGAATCGGCGCGACGCCGGAGCCTGGTTGGCATCAATTCGCAGAGAAAGACAAGCGGCTACGCGCCTCGCACTGTGGGCGGCGCCTGGCAGATCCAACCTACTGCAACTCAGCGGCGAGCATGTGAAGGAGTGCACGCATACACAGCTCGCTTTGCAAAACAGCGCCCGCAGCCAAGACGCGCGCACGCGGTCGCCGCGCTGCACTCGGGAGCGCTGGCGGTGCGCACGACGGCTCGCAACCACTGCCGCTGCGACAATCCTCGCGAGCAAACTCGAGACGCGCTGCCTGAGCAAGCGCACCGAAAGTGCGAGTCATGTCTGAGCTTGACTCCCAGGGGCGGTCCGCTAGAACTCACGAATCGCGGACTTACGCCTAGGCTGCTCAAACTGACGGCGAAAGCGTCGCGAAGTCAAACCCCGTCTGACCATCGGCACCCGCCAGGTCCAGCCGCCACGCCAGCTATCGGCTCGTGGAGTCCGCAGCGCTTTGGCGAGGATATGGAGGAGCGACATCAGCACAAGGGGGCGAGCGAGCGCGCTCCGTCAGTTCTCATTCGACTGGTGGCCTGCAGCAGGCCCAGGGCGTGCACGCGCCGCCCCGCTTCCACAGGGAGGGCCGCGCCGCCCCGCCCTCGAGCCGAAAATGGCGCTATACAGCGCCTGCTCCAGGATGGACAAAAACACCGCTTGCGACGGCGATGAACGCGCTGTGCAGCGCCTGCTCCAGGAGGGGGGAGGAGAGGCCAGACGGCCCAGCGGAGCCAGACCCCTGCCTCTCGGCGTTGGATCTCGACGTCCGACTTTCGACAACCTGAGCAGCAGGCAAAAGAGGAATGCAAACGAGGGCACTGCACCATCCGCAGGGAGGGCCGCGCCGCCCCGCCCTCGAGGAGCCGCAAATGGCGGGCGCTATACAGCGCCTGCTCCAGGATGGAAAAATACCATTTGCGACGGCGATGGACGCGCTATACAGCGCCTGCTCCGGGATGGGAAAAAACCATTTGCTCCGGGATGGAAAAGTGCCATGTGCGACGGCGATGGACGCGCTATACAGCGCCTGCTCCGGGATGGAAAAATACGATTTGCGACGGCGACTCTATATCCGCCGGCCCCCTTGTGGGGCCACCAGGCTGTAGGCCCGAGATTCGCAGTTTCCTGTACCAGTTGTAGGTTGTAGTTTCCAGTGTTACAATTCTGCTTCTTGCTGGTTACTGTAACTAGTTGATTGACCGCGCGAGGGGGGGGGGGGGCCCAAACCGGCTTTTTAGCACTCCATGGGCGCGTTGTCTGAATTGCTGGGGGGGCTCGAAATCGACACCCCTCACGCAGATCCGCGGGGTCAGGGTCCAAAAACACATGGGATTTGCCACATTTCTGAAATTCGGTGCCACCCCTCACGCAGATCCGCGGGGTCAGGGTCCAAAAACACAGGGGATTTGCCACATTTCTGAAATTCGGTGCCACCCCTCACGCAGATCCGCGGGGTCAGGGTCCAAAAACACAGGGGATTTGCCACATTTCTGAAATTCGGTGCCACCCCTCACGCAGATCCGCGGGGTCAGGGTCCAAAAACATACGGGATTTGTTACATTTCTGAAATTCGGTGCCACCCCTCACGCAGATCCGCGGGGTCAGGGTCCAAAAACACATAGGATTTGCCACATTTCTGAAATTCGGTGCCACCCCTCACGCAGATCCGCGGGGTCAGGGTCCAAAAACACAGGGGATTTGCCACATTTCTGAAATTCGGTGCCACCCCTCACGCAGATCCGCGGGGTCAGGGTCCAAAAACACAGGGGATTTGCCACATTTCTGAAATTCGGTGCCACCCTTCACGCACATCCATCGCAAGGCGTGGTAACCCGAACTGCGAGAACTCCCTCGGCCCTTTAATCGCAAGGTGTGGTAACCAAGCCCGTAAACCATACACGTCTTACCAATCGCCAGGTGTGGTAACCCCTCTTGTGATCAGTTGGTTTTGCTGATTGCGAATCGGCTTCGCATGAAGTTTCGATACTGCTTCACGACAGCGCCAAGGCCTCATGACTTAGCTCTTCTATGGCTCATTCTCCGAGAGAGGGGGCTGGCGGCAGGGGGCGAAGCCCTTACGGATATAGAGAGAGAGGAATAATGTAAGATTTGTTTGGGGAAAAGATGGGGGCGAGAAAGCTCATCGAACACCCGGTTGATTTAAGAATCGCTAGCGAGATAGACCTAGCGGAAAAATTCTGAGGCGCAAACACCGCCCCAGGGAATGGGGAGGAGAGCGCGAAACCATAATGCACACGAAGATGAGTGGAAGTTCAACGCCTCTTGGATGCAGACTTGCTGGAAGGAATCATACGGGCCTCTTACGCACCGATTAATGTCACATCGAGTTCGGCAGCAGGGGCCTTCGCTTGCACGGCCATGTACGGCACGGACGAATGATGCAAGAAGATGCGAACCTTACCATCCTCGCAGCGTTTGTACCCAAAGGTGTACTCGACTTTGGATTTCTCTCCAGTTGTTGCGCAGGTGAAGTAATAGTTGCCCATGGCAATGGCAATACTACTTTTGACTGCAACTTGGTGGTTGTCGTACACGCAATCCGACCAGCCCTTGCCACCATTGATCGCAAAACCGCCGTCCTCAGCGTACCCATTATCGACAGCCTTGCAGCCGACGAAGTAGGACATGGCCTCCTCGGCCTTGGGCCGGAACTGGTGCTGGGCAGCCTTGGTCGGCTTGAAAAGCACGTCGTACTTGCCGTAGGCGTAGAGCTCACCAGCTGCGGTAGCAGCGGCCTGGACGTAGTCGCCGTTCTCCTTGTAAATCTTCGAAATGTTTTTGATCGCGCCCGCCCATGCGTTCTGCACAGCGATCACATCTTCCCTGGTGACCGCTGCTGTGCTGGCCACCATATTTGCCTTGGGGTCCGCTGTTTTACTGGAGACGGCGTATGGCACGGACGAATGGTGCAAGAAGATGCGCACCTTACCATCGTCGCAGCGTTGGTAGCCAAAGGTGTACTCGACTTTGGATTTCTCTCCAGTTGTTGCGCAGGTGAAATTCGCCGGCCCAACGGGCCAGAGGCGTGCTAAGATCTCCGGCAACTACTCAACAATATTTCTAATTCGTGCGCGCGGGGCCGCGGCCCCTGGGGGCCCCCGGACGGAAAGTACCCCGGCTAATCCCTGTCCGGGTCCCTGTCCGGGTCCCCGGCCAGGTCCCGGGCAATCCCCAGGGGGGAGGCTATTTTTCGCCACGCCACACCAGGATCGTAGCCTCCGAGGGGGTGGCTGCAATCGACTGCCCCCCTTCCCGCCCCAAGGGGCCCCCAAGAGCCCCCTAAAAGGCCTCAGGGGAGCCCAAGACGTCGCCAAGGAGCCCCAAGACGCTCCCAAGAAGCCCCCAAGAGGCCCCCAAGACGGCCCCAAGAGGCCCCAAATAGCGCTCCAGGGCCGGCGGAATGAGCAAAGCGATTAAATAATAGTTGCCCATGGCGATGGCGACATCGGTCTTGAGTGCGATCTGGTGGTTGTCGTACGCACAATCCGACCAGCCCTTGCCGCCGTTGATCGCAAAACCGCCGTCCTCAGCGTACCCATTATCGACAGCCTTGCAGCCGACGAAGTAGGACATGGCCTCCTCGGCCTTGGGCCGGAACTGGTGCTGGGCAGCCTTGGTCGGCTTGAAAAGCACGTCGTACTTGCCGTAGGCGTAGAGCTCACCAGCTGCGGTAGCAGCGGCCTGGACGTAGTCGCCGTTCTCCTTGTAAATCTTCGAAATGTTTTTGATCGCGCCCGCCCATGCGTTCTGCACAGCGATCACATCTTCCCTGGTGACCGCTGCTGTGCTGGCCGCCATATTTGCCTTGGGGTTCGCTGCCTTACTGGAGGCGGTGAACGGCACGGACGAATGGTGCAAGAAGATGCGAACCTTACCGTCATCGCAGCGTTGGTAGCCAAATGTGTACTCGACTTTGGACTTCTCTCCAGTTGTTGCGCAGGTGAAATAGTAGTTGCCCATGGCGATGGCGACATGACCATTGAGATCGATCTGGTGGTTGTCGTACACGCAATCTGACCAGCCCTTGCCACCATTGATCGCAAAACCGCCGTCCTCAGCGTACCCATTATCGACAGCCTTGCAGCCGACGAAGTAGGACATGGCCTCCTCGGCCTTGGGCCGGAACTGGTGCTGAGCAGCCTTAGTCGGCTTGAAAAGCACGTCGTACTTGCCGTAGGCGTAGAGCTCACCAGCTGCGGTAGCAGCGGCCTGGACGTAGTCGCCGTTCTCCTTGTAAATCTTCGAAATGTTTTTGATCGCGCCCGCCCATGCGTTCTGCACTGCGATCACATCTTCCCGAGTGACGTCGGCTCCCGCCGCCCCAACAACGTCGGCCCTCGCCGCTCCCACGACTTCCGTTGCCTGGGATTTCGGCGTGGACTTACACAGACCGAACATGGCGAAAGCTCGGCTGGCGAGACAACACTAAACTGGTGGCGCGATATGGCTGCGTGTCAACCACACTTGAGCAAAAATGGCTTGAGCCAAAATGGCTACGGACGCAACCCCCACCATCCCTGTCAAGCAACAGTGCAAACTATACTTTGGGGCACAGTCTTGAGTGCTGTCCGTGAGGCCCGCGAACACTTTGTAGTGTTTTTTGACAAAGACGGCGGGGGGGTCAGCATATTCCCTGCTGTGCGCAGGGCTCTCATCCCTCACTCCCCCCAACATGATCGACCCACGAACCCGGAAAGGAATTTAGAAATGTAAGGCAAGGCAACGTTTCCAAGACACCTGATTGGGCGACGGGCAAATGCAATGCTGAATGTATCGATCTTGATGTACTGTGCCGACGGCTGTGCTGTGCTACGCCGTGCTGAACTGCGATGTGCCATGCCGCGATTGTGCTTTATGTAGCGTTGTGGATCGAATCATCCCTGGCATCCGAGTCCTGGCCGAACTGATCTGGATCTTAAGCTCGAGCTGCCTGAGCAGATGGTAGCTGCCCCAGAACTAATCGACAGAGGAGACATGCCAGGAGGACGCGCCGCGGAACGTCCCAAGGGACGCGCCAGGCGACTTGCCAGGGGACGTGCCAGGGGGACGCACCGCGGGACGTGCCAAGGGGACGCGCTACGGAACGTGCTAATGGACGTGCCGCGGGACGTGCCAGGGGACGCACCGCGCGACGTGCCAGGTGGACTCGCCACGGGACGCGCCAATGAACGTGCCAAGGTGCAATGTTGAATGTATCGATCTTGATGTACCGTGCCGACGGCTGTGCTGTGCTACGCCGTGCTGAACTGCGATGTGCCATGCCGCGATTGTGCTCTATATAGCGTTGTGGATCGAGTCCTCCCTGGCATCCGAGTCCTGGCCGAACTGATCTGGATCTTAGGCTCGAGCTGCCTGAGGACATGGTAGCTGCCCCAGAACTAATCGACAGGGGCACATGCCAGGAGGACGCGCCGCGGAACGTCCCAAGGGACGCGCCAGGCGACGTGCCAGGGTACGTGCCATGGGCACGCACCGTGGGACGTGCCAAGGGGACGCGCTACGGAACGTGCCAATGTGCACCGCGCGACGTGCCAGGGGGACTCGCCACGGGACGCTCCGCGGAACGTGCCAGGCAACATGCCAGGCTGCAATGCTAAAAGTATCGATATTGATGTACCGTGCCGAAGGTTGCGGCTGTGCTGTGCCTGGGCGACCTGGACACGTGAAAACACGCGTTTCGCTCAAGACGTTCTCAGCACATCCTCATGCTAGACATCCGCCTGGACACGTGCAAACAAGCGTCTCGATCGAGACTTCCTCGACACATCCTCATGCTAGGCATCCGCCTGGGCGACCTGGACACGTGAAAACAAGCCCCTGGTTCGAGACATCCTCAACAAATCCTCATGCTAGACATCTGTCTGGGCAACCTGGAGGCGTGAAACCAAGCGTCTTGCTCGAGACATCCTCAAGACCTGGGCACGTGAAAAAAAAAGCATGTCACTTGAGAGATCCTCTGCATTCAGGTCCCCAGGAGAGGACAATCTATAACACAAAACAAGTGTTTCGCTCGAGACATCCTCCACAAATTATGAACAACAAGCGTTTCGCTAGGGACATCCTCAAATTTGAATTCGCCGTCCCTACGCGACCTCGTTATTTTGTCGCAAAAGAAATTCGCCGGCCCTACAGCCGTCAGATCCGGGGGCAAACCCCTAAAAGAGAACCCTGGGCCTACGCCCTTTCCGGGAATAAGCGGATTCGTGCCCCTGGAGAGGGCCAATATATAGGAACATACGCAAAAACAAATGGATTCGCGAGCCTGGAGAGGGCCAATCTATAGGGACATGCATAAAAACACATGCTGAGAATACTTCATCGACCAAATTGTGTCCCGCACCCTGTGATTTATCGATCGGGATTTCAAAAACAAGCGTTTCGCTAGGGACATCCTCAACTTGTTCATTCGCCGGCCCTATGCGACCTCGTTTTTCAATCGCAGATTCAATTCGCCGGCCCTACGCAAGTCGAAGCCGAGGGAAAACCATCTAAACATGATCGACCCACGAACCCGGAAAGGAATATAGAAATGTAAGGCATGGCAACTTTTCAAAGACACTTGATTGGGCGACGGGCAAATGCAATGCTGAATGTATCGATCTTGATGTACTGTGCCAGGGGCTGTGCTGTGCTGCACTGTGCTGAACTGCGATGTTCCATACCGCGATTGTGCTCTACATAGCGTCGTGGATCGAGTCTTCCTTAACATCCGAGCCCTGACCGAACTGATCTGGATCATAAGCTCGACCTGACTGAGCAGATGGTAGCTGCCCCAGAACCAATCGAATGAGGGGACATGCCAGGAGGACGCGCCGCGGAACGTCCCAAGGGACGCGCCAAGCGACGTGCCAGGGGACGTGCCATCGGCACCGCGGGACGTGCCAAGGGGACGCGCTACGGAACGTGCCAATGGATGTGCCGCGGGACGTGCCAGGGGGCGCGCCACGCGACGTGCCAGAGGGACTCGCCAAGGGACGCCCCACGGAACGTGCCAAGTTGCAATGCTGAGTCTATCGATCTTGATGTACTGTGCCAGGGGCTGTGCTGTGCTGCACTGTGCTGAACTGCGATGTTCCATACCGCGATTGTGCTCTACATAGCGTCGTGGATCGAGTCCTCCGTGCATCCGAGTCCTGACCGAACTGATCTGTATCGTAAGCTCGAGCTGCCTGAACACTTAGTAGCTGCCCCAGAACTAATCGACAGAGGCACATGCCAGGAGGACGCGCCGCGGAACGTCCCAAGGGACCCGCCAAGCGACGTGCCAAGGGACGTGCCATGGGCACGCACCGCGGGACGTGCCGAGCGGACGCGCTACGGAACGTGCCAATGGACGTGCCGCGGGACGTGCCAGGGGACGCGACGTGCCAGGGGGACTCGCCAAGGGACGCCCCACGGAACGTGCCAAGGAACGTGCCAAGTTGCAATGCTGAGTCTATCGATCTTGATGTACTGTGCCGAAATCTGTGCTGTGCTGCGCCGTGCTGAACTGCGATGTGCCACGCCGCGATTGTGCTCTAGATAGCCTCGTGGATCGAGTTCTCCTTTGCATCCGAGTCCTGACCGAACTGATCTGGATCGTAAGCTCGAGCTGCCTGAACACATAGTAGCTGCCCCAGAACTAATCGACAGGGGGACATGCCAGGAGGACGCGCCGCGGAACGTCCCAAGGGACGCGCCAAGCGACGTGCCAGGGGACGTGCCATGGGCACGCACCGCGGGACGTGCCAAGGGGACGCGCTACGGAACGTGCCAATGGATGTGCCACGGGATGTGCCAGGGGACGCGCCACGCGACGTGCCAGGGGGACTCGCCAAGGGACGCCCCACGGAACGTGCCAAGGAACGTGCCAAGTTGCAATGCTGAGTCTATCGATCTTGATGTACTGTGCCGAAATCTGTGCTGTGCTGCGCCGTGCTGACTTGCGATGTGCCATGCCGCGATTGTGCTCTATAGCCTCGTGGATCGAGTCCTCCTTTGCATCCGAGTCCTGACCGAACTGATCTGAATCTTAAGCTCGAGCTGCCTGAACACATAGTAGCTGCCCCAGAGCTAATTGACAAGGGGACATGCCAGGAGGACGCGCCGCGGAACGTCCCGAGGGACCCGCCAAGCGACGTGCCAAGGGACGTGCCATGGGCACGCACCGCGGGACGTGCCAAGGGGACGCGCTACGGAACGTGCTGGGGACAAGCGTTTCGCTCGAGACATCCTGCCAACATCCTCAGAATTCCTGCGCGCGGGGCGCGGACGCGCGAGACATCCTCGAAATTCTTGCGAGCGGGACGTGTAAACAAGCATTTCGCCTGAGACATCCTCTGAATTCTGGACCCCCACGAGGCCCCCCACGAGGCCCCCGCTGGAGACATCCCCCAATTTTGCAAAACCAGCGGTTCGCTCGAAACGTCTTCAACAAATTATGAAAGACAAGCATTTCGCTCGAGACATCCTGCCAAAATTCAAGGAAATCCTAGCAAAACAAACGAATTAGTCGAGACATCCTGGAAATTCCTGCGCGCGGGACGCGGCACGCGCGAGACATCCTCGGAATTCCTGCGCGCGGGGCGCTTTTCCATGTCGCGGTCGGCTCTGCAAAACCAGCGTTTCGCTCGAGACATCCTCAACAAATTCTGAAAACAAGCGTTTCGCTCGAGACATCCCCAACTCTGCAAAACCAGCGTTTCGCTCGAGACATCCTCAACAAATTCTGAAAAACAAGCGTTTCGCTAGGGACATCCTCAAAAATAATTCCGCCGGCCCTACTCCCGCACGTAATTTATCGCAGAATAATTTCGCCGGCCCTACAGCCGTCGAAACCGGGGGTAAACCCACTAAAAGAGAACCCTGGGCTCGAGCCCTTTCCGGGAAAAAGAACCCTGGGCCCGAGCCCTGTCCGGAAAAAAAAAGCGTCGTAGTTTCTGCGCCAGTGCACAAGACTGACCCACTGCCGGATCCAAGTCATGCTCCCGTCATGTACATCAAACTCATGCGAAGCAGCATGCTCTCCTCCTCCCTGGCGCGCAGAGCGCGCCAGGGGCGGCGCCGCAGGCGCCGCCGGGGCAGCCCAATGCAGCTCCAAGAAATCTGCGTGGAGTTCCAACAAATCATTCCCAACCATCCTGTGGTGTTGGGTCCACGTTTGAAGAGACAGCGCCCCGCGTCCCACCTCTCCTCCTCCTCTCCTCCTCCTCCCTTATCCTCCCTCCTCCCATCCCTGCCTCTCCTCTCCCTGCACCGTGATCACCATCATTCCCAACCATCCTGTGGTGTTGGGTCCTCGTTTTGAAGAGACAGCGCCCCGCGTCACACTCACCCCCGCTGCCCCATCCCTCCTCCCATGCCTGCCTCTGCCAATCGCACCAAATACAGCGCTTCGTGGCCCCAAAGGGAGCTCCACCGAAAGCCCCAGTGGCAGCGCCCGCATGCAGTTCCACCCTCCATGTCGGTGTGCCCATCACACGTTTCATGGCCCCATCGGGAGCTCCACCGAACGCC